GGGTGGGGATAACAGAATGTCTGAAATGATATTGTCATGCAAATGCTGTGGCTTAGGTGCATCAGATGTTGGGACATACATCACAGAATCACAGAATAACAGAGCTGGAAGGGATTTTGGAGGTCTTCTAGTCCAAACCCTATACCATTCCAGACAAATGGTTGTCCAATCTCCTCTTAAAAACATCCAGTGTTGGAGCGCCCACAACTTCTGGAGGCAAGTCGTTCCACTGATTAATTGTTCCCCCTGTCAGGAAATTTCTCCTGGTTGGTTCTCTCCTTGATTAGTTTCCATCCATTGCTTCTTGTCCTGCCTTCAGGTGCTTTGGAGACCTTCTTTTCTTTCTGGCAGTCTCTTAGATATTGGAACACTGCTACCATGTCACCCCTAGTCCTTCCAATCCTTCTTTCATTAAACTAGATATATCTAATTCCTGCAACTGTTCTTCATATTTTTAGCTCCCAGCCCTCTAATTTATCTTTGTTGGTCTTCTCTGCACTCTTTCCAGAATCTCTACATCTTTTTTATAATGTGGCAACCAAAACTAGATGCAACATTCCAAGTATGGTCTTACCAAAGCATTATAAAGTAGTGCTAACACTTCACATGATCTCGGGTCTATCCCTCTGTTAATGCAGCCTAGGACTGTGTTGGCATTTTTGGGGGCACAATGCTGGCTCATATTTGAGTGGTTGTCCACTAGGATGCCGAGTTCACCAGACTGCTGTTGTCATTTTGGCATCATCGTGGTTTGCTGTGGACTCATTTGGTCATGTATGGCACTACAGATAATTTTTACAGTCCTAATTTACTTGCTTAAAGTCAATAGTAGGCAAAATGGATCCTTCAGCATGGGATGATTCCCAGTTAGAGAATCTTGATTCAGGAGTAGAGCTACTGCAAGTGACTCCAATTCTCTAGATATGTAACATGGCAAAACAGGAACTAAAAATAATTCCCATCTCTCCAAGTATAAAAATTGGCTGCCTTTGAAGAAGTTACATTTAGTTCAACTCTTTTAATTGGATATCAATCATTGCAATTCACAGAAATAGGGTAACTCAGTTGATTAGGGGTCTGGAGGCTAAAACATATGAAGAACAATGGCAGGAATTGGATATGTCAGTCTAGTGAAAAGAAGGGGTGACATGATAGCACTCTTCCAATATTTATCAGTGGAACAGCTTGCCTTTGGAAGTTGTGGGTGCTCCAATCTCTTGTTAAAAATCACTGGAAGGTTTTAGCAAGAGATTGGACAGCCATTTATCTGAAGTGGTATAGGCTCTCCTGCTTGAGTAGGGGTTTGGTCTAGAAGACCTTCAAGATTGCTTCCAACTCTATTATTCTATTCTATTCTATTCTATTCTATTCTATTCTATTCTATTCTATTCTATTCTATTCTATTCTATTCTATAACCTATCCTACTTTACTCTACTCTATTGACAGAAGACATACATCAGACCATTCTCTATGTCAGTGGTTCTCAACCTTTTTAATGCCGCGACCCCCAACCGGTGGTAAGTCGAGGACTACTCAACTGGTGCAGCACCATTTTCAGAATGGGACTTTTGGCGGGCTCAGCAGGGCAGAGACAGCCTGGACAATTCCTATTGGCTTTTGAAAGCCAATAGAATTAGACTCTATTCAAGAGAGTCTATTCCATTGGCTTTCAAAAGCCAATAGAATAAAAGGGAGTAGCACAGCTAAGGAAAAGGGGGGGGGGAAATGGCAGACTGCATTGTTTGGCGACCCCCGTGAAATGGTTGTTCGACCCCAAATGGGGTCCCGACCCACAGGTTGAGAACCACTGCTCTATGTTTTAGCATCTGCTACCCAAAGCCTACTCCTTATCTTATCTAAGGATAAGACTGCCTATTCAGGCTGGTAGGTTCTGTCATCATGAATGCAATTCAAGTGGGACATATACTGCGACATGCCTGTCTTATTCAAGTGTTTCACCTTCTTCAAAAAAAGTTCCTTTCCAATCTTGTGAGCTGGCTTGTAAGTTGAGCTATTTGGGTAAAATGAAATTATTTGAATTATTCCTACACCTTCAAGAATCACGAGAACCCTTTTCCTGGAAACTAGAACTTTTATGGAAGGAAGACCTTCTCATGAATCCGAGAATACATCCCACTGTGCCTACTTGTTGGTGGGGCCAAATCCAAAATGAATGGGAAACATGTTTTTCTATTTGTTTCTTTGACTCTCCCGTTTTTTCTCTCTCTTTCCCCTCCCTCAGAGGACTTTGGGATGAAGCACTAACTGCTTCCCTAGGGATTTGATCTAATGATCTTCAGACAGCTTCTAAAATTGGGCTTGAGAAGTGTATACAGTCCTATGGATGCCAGTTGCCCAATTTTACAAGGATGGATGGATGGATGGATGGATGGACGGACGGATGGAAATAATATATAATATATTGTCAGCTTTTTCCATTTTAATACAGCTGTAAATGAAAGTGTTGAAAAAAATAATTAAATATTTGAATGGCTTCTTAATTCCTCACTGAGAAAGGATTTTCTGGTCCTGATAGATATTTTGCACTTCTAATTATTATATTCCTAAGTATTTCTGGAACAAGTGAGATAAACCAAGCCCAGCCTTCAGAAGGCATTATCATCAAGGGGCATAGCTAGAGTCTGGAAGTGACTATAGAAAACTCATTTATCTAGTTTTCATCCCATTTACTGACTGAGATAAACATCACCAAACTGCCTGGCCTCATCAGTGAAATGCCTAAAGTGTGGATTTCATTTCAGTTGTTTAACAGCCTCTGCACGCTACCTTTCATTGGCTATGGTTAAAATTGGGATAGGAAGTTGCAGAGTCTAAGGCTTTCTTCCTACAGATATCTATGTTGTACATGCAAGTGTGGATGCTCATGCTGTTGATATACTTGTCTTGCCTGCATAAAACTAGGGATCTGTTTCAGATCTAGAGTTGAAAAGATCTTTTGGAGAAGATAAAAGTATGTATTTCCTCCTAGATCATCTAGTACAGTAGCTTTGCCACCCTAGAAAGAGATCTATTTAAGAAGATACCAACGGCATAACCCCACATTTGTTTGAAAGCACATTGTCACGCCCTCCAACTGGGATTCCGTGGTATTGTGCGTATCTAGAAAGCACATAACATCTTTCAATAGATCAGTGATGGCGAACCTTTTAGAGCAGTGGTTCTCAACCTGTGGGTCGGGACCCCATTTGGGGTCAAACAACCATTTCACGGGGGTCGCCAAACAATGCAGTCCGCCATTTTTTTCCCTTTTTCCTTAGCTGTGCTACTCCCTTTTATTCTATTGGCTTTTGAAAGCCAATAGAATAGACTCTCTTGAATAGAGTCTATTGGCTTTCAAAAGCCAATAGGAATTGTCCAGGCTGTCTCTGCCCTGCTGAGCCCACCAAAAGTCCCATTCTGCAAACGGTGCTGCACCAGTTGAGTAGTCCTCGACTTACGACTGGTTGAGTAGTCCTCAACTTACGACCGGTTGGGGGTCGCGGCATTAAAAAGGTTGAGAACCACTGTTTTAGAGACCGAGTGCCCCAAACTGGCCCCACCCCTGCTTCACCCCCTATCCTTCCCCCTGCCCCGCCCCACCCCATCCCCCATCCCTCCTGCCTGCAGGGCCACTCACTGCCTCCAGGGCCCACCGCACATCGCCCAGGCAGCCCAGCAGCACCATGGTGGCCACGCCCTATGCCCGCGCTCCGCAGCATCAACTGTGCACGATGGGACGTGAGGACAGAGTCTTGTTTACAGTGCCTGGCTGCCATGTCCTTGGCTGCACTGCTCCGTATGAGCCACACTCGGGGGCGACTCCTCCAGGGGGGCTGCTGGTAAGGAGGGGATCGCGGGGGGAGGCGAGGCTGGGACAATGGCACATGTGCCCACAGAGAGGGCTCCGAGTGCTGCCTCTGGCACCCGTGCCATAGGTTCGCCACCACTGGATTAAATCAGGAATGGGTGATCTGTGGCTTTTATCTATTCTTCACCCAATAAGGAGCCCCTGCAATGTGGGGCAGCTCTGCCCAAGTTTTTCTTAGGCTTATATCAGCTGTTAACTGAGTATTGAAAAATGCCATCAGTTCGCCACCATTGCAAAAGATGGTGCATGTATGCCCATATGTATTCTGTAGAACCTGTCAATAAAACCCCAATAACCCCATAATAATGCTAGCATTAAGAAAACTGTGCAACTCCTGTATTAGAGGAAGGTCTCTATGCAAAGAGTAATAAATTTAGGCAGAGACGAGGGAGGGACCTTAAATTAGCAACTGTCAAGCACCAGGGAAATCTGGAGATTCAGGCAGTTCAAAGGAGTATAAAGATTTATTGCAAGTTTAAGCTGTCTACAAGAATCTGACCAACTGGCCATTAAGAGAAACGGTGGGAGATAAGAAAGACATTCAAGGCAGAGTGGACTTAGTTGTCTTCTAGGCACGCAGGGACTCATGAGTTATGATGCATTTGAGCCCTCCCTCCAACTCAGCCTAGTCATCTCCTACAACAACCAGGAGAACGTAATCCAGTTTTAAGGCGATGTCTTCTTCAGAAAAAAATATTTTCTCTCTGAGGTTAGACTAAAAAGCTTCTGACTTGGCACAATTTTGATACAGAAGTCCTTTAAAGAAGAGCCTTTGACAGATCCAATAGAGATCTGATGCCTTGCGTGAAGCAGTAGCAAACTTTGGTTAGCGGGAAATAATAAGGTTATATCAATGCTTTTTTTGGATGGCACGCTTTTCTTCTCTAGTAACACATAATTTTGCACCTTGCCATTAAGCCAATGATTTGAACAAAAGAGAATTAAAAGTTAGTAGGATTTAGGAAATTGTATTTTTCCTCTCTTAGGAAGTATAATTGAATTATGTCCTAGAGAGAGACTTCTATCACTTCAATCAAAGAAACAGGCCAATAGGATAGAAAGCAAGCAAGCACATAATTTGGATATTCCCTTTACCTACCATAACTAAGATTTCATAGTACATGTGCTTACCTGCATAGAATTCTGGACTATAGACTGCACCAACAACTGGATTTAATTTCCAACCTGTAGTAAAGACAGGAAACCAAACTTGGTAAATTGGAAGTCATGGCATGACATTCTAATTTGGTTGTGATTGTACGATTTTTATTTTATATCTTTTAAAGAATTGTATCATGTCCTTCAAAGTGAAGGTTCTTAAAAAGCCACCCCACCCCCACCCCGAGACACACAAACACACACATAACCCCCCCCCACAAACCCTTTAAGTGTAAACGACCATTAAACAAAGGGGGAATTTAATGCATCTTTTATTACAAAACCACTTTGTATCAACCGACTTTTTCTTCAATACCAGGATATAATTTCAGCCCATTTCATGAAAAAGAAGATTCTATTTATCCCCTTAATGCAAGTCTGTATAACTCTGCAAAAAGAAAAGAAAAAAACAACTTTCTTTTCATTTGATGAACAGAGGCAATCTTCTTCCTGGTTTTAAATTGGATGGGCTTAAAAGGACTTTACTTTCACAACACACTAAATCCTAAACCTGGATTAAGAAAACTCCAGTGGTGTGCTTATATAACATCCTTGCCCTAATAAATCATTTCATGGCTTAGGATAATGGCTTGGTTTCCCCAACAATACGTGAGTTCATATATAAATGAACCGCACCTCTCACTTCTGGAACAATTTTTCCATAAAATAAGTTCACTTTTGGCAAGTTTCAGACAAAAGGTCAGGAACTTTCCCCAAGTTTTTAATGGAAGATAATAGCAGAACCCATCTTTACAAGGACTGTCTACCTATTATTTTACTGCAGTCATGTTAGGGCAAATAAATTAAAAGAAAGCTAGCATAGGTACTTGGATGAATGACTAATAGGACCAGAAACCAGACTGGCAGTGTGTGTGTGTGAGAGAGAGAGAGGGGTGGGGGAGAAAAGGAGGGAGAGGGAGGGAGAGGGAGAGAGAAAAGGAGGAAGAGAGAGGGAGAGAAAGAGAGAGGAAGGGAGGGAGGGAGACAGAGAGGAAGAAAGGGAAGGAAAGGCAGAGGGGGAGGGGAGAGAGGGCAAGAGAGAGAGGAAGGTAATAGCAAACCACTTCTATTTTATTGCCAAGAAATTCGACTTGGATGTGTCCATTGGTCATCTGCAATTGAGATTTCTTTTGCTAAATAAACAAATAGAGTGTTTGTTTTAAGAAATGATGAAGCTGTGTTCTTATTGAAAGATCAACCTTTCATTGGTAAGGGACACAATTAATATTTGTGTAGACCACAATAACCAATTATGGTTATTTATATACCATGTAAATTAGTAAGGCCAGCATCTTCATTTTTTTTTTTTTTCCATTTGGTGTGGGGGCCATTGTTTTGTAAACTAAGTTAAGCTTATTCCGAGCTAGGCTTATTTTAGAGCTACACAACCATTTTTGTGTGTTTCTTGACATGAAAACTGCTGCTGAGTTTTACACAAGTGGTCAGGAAAGACTCCTGAGAAATGCAAAAAAAAAAAAAAAAAAATAGAGTTTGAGTGGAGATCCCGATTGCCTACACCCTTTCTAAAGGATGTGCACAATTTGGTGTATCCATTTTACTTAAATGTTCTATTTTTGCCAGTTGTGCAATAACCACACAGCTAACTTTTATAACCCCGTGAGATAGCAAATTGCAGCCTAGGATGAGAAAGGGGGAAAGTTAAAGCAAAAGGAAGAAAGAATGCAAGATGTATTTTCTTCCACCCAAATCTTCCAAGCTGATCTAAGCCAAGTACTTAACCAACAAAAGTCTTTTAATTACTCAAAGTGTAATTTTCTATAATACTTTTTTAATTCTTCACTTCTGCACAGATAAGCCATTTTGGCTGGTTTTTCACATCTGTCAGACTTTTCTGTCAAAGAGGCTGAGAGATAACCTCAGACATTTTAAGCTATACTAATGGCGCCTCAATTTGTCTTCGGGAAGAGAGGGGGAGATGGGTGCTTGGCAAGATGCAGATCGATGATCTCAGCTGGAACCTGCACTCATATTTCATCTCCTTCCCCTACCCAATTTGACGGCTGCATCATCTAGCTTGGGGAAGCTCTCTCTGCAAAGACTTCATTTATCATGAAAATAACAGCAATTAAACTTTACTTTGTCTTGTCAATGAAGGATTTGCTGGCCCATAACTGTGTGGGCTAATCAAGTGTGAGCAAAAGTTTGACATGTAGAGTGAAGAAATGCCAAGGAATCAAGTCTTCACCATTAGAAGAGGTAAATTCACCACTGTGGGTGTAGTTCTCAGAATCTGTCTTGCTGTCACAACACTTATCTCAGGGAGAAACTTTTAGAACAGACAGGAAAAGGGGAAAAACAACCTGTCTCTGACACAGATAGATAGACTTAGTGCCCAATGAGGAAAAAACATATTTTAGCATGCATACTTACTTTATTTTATTGAGGCCATTTACCAAAAGGCCTTCTTCTTATTGTATATGTTTATTCTATAAATATATTTATGTACCGTACTTTCCGGCGTATAAGACGACTTTCGCAAGCGGTAAAATCGGTGCCAAAGTCAGGGGTCGTCTTATACGCCGGGTCGTCTTATACGCCGGAAATTACGATAGTTTCCAGCATATAAGACGACTTTCTAGGCATGCGACTCGACGCTGAAGACAGGGATCGTCTTATATGCCAGGTCGCCTTATACGCCGGAATATACAGTATATACTTATTGTATGAACAAATAAAGGAAAAAACAAACACCAGGATATAATAAACCAGCCTGTTTAATATAAACAAGCCTGTGGTTAAGAAGAGTTACTAAGCTTTCGTCCGGCCAAAAAACTGCCGGCGTCATCAGAGTTAGAATAGCAAGAGATTGGGAAGGCAGCTCATATAGCCTCCTGTCTCTGCGCCCGGCTCCTTGAGCGCGTCATCGGCCCGTTGATTGTGTTAATCCTTATTGCACCGAGTTGTTCCGCATCAGGCAAACTGTCTTTGACTCCACTGGTTGTTTTACGATCCTCAAGTGCTCTTTCTGAGCGTGTGCAAGCACTTGGAGGGCGGCTGTCAATCCATACCTGCGCCCAATCCCCCTCCCTCCCATGGCCATTATCCTCCCCCACCCCAAAGGCCATTATATACTTATTGTGTGTGTGTGTGTATATATATATATATATATATATATATATATATATATATATATATATTCAATAATGATGGTGAAAATGCGACTCCCGGGCATAATTATAAATGGAATGAATAAAGCGCGTTCACCTGGAGAGTTTAAAGTTAAAATACTTTAATTAAAGTATTTTACTATATTAAAAGGTTGCCAAGCTTTCATTGGGAAAACTCCCCAACATCTTCAGGGCTGAGAGACCGTTTCTAACAAGGTGATTCAAACGGGTTCCATAGACGTCTGCACGTGGTTCCTAGACTGTGCTAGCATTCCCTGCTGAACAGCTGATAGGTGGGAGGGGGAATCGGAGTAAAGATTGCTGCTCGAAGCACGAAGCTGAAAACACCAGCCTGAAGATGACGAATGGGACTTCGTCGAAACGTCGCCAAGACACTTCCAATTTTACGCGGGAGAAAACCCGAACAACCAAAGACCTACATATATATATATGTATTTATGTATGTGTATATTATATATATATATATATATATATATATATATATATATATATATATATATATATATATATATATATATAATATACACATACATAAATACAACTAGCCATTTAGCATTTTTTAAAATTTAATATTATCTTTTAGCCATTTTTATTTTTGTCGGTACATACGTTTCTTAACTCTCCTGGTATGGTCACTTAGATGAGGAAAATGCATTCAGTCACCAAGTTTATTGATGATGTTTCAAGCAAAACAGGTATTAGAGAGAGGAAAGAAATTCACTGAATTTCTCTGAATATGAACTTATCCATTTTTGCATTTCCATCCAGAAGGCAAAGCAAAACTTCATTGTCATTTGAAATCTGGCGTTCTCCAAATTCCCTATCACAACACATCATTATTTTTTGTTTGTTTTCCTTTTAAAAAAGCATATTAGAAGGGAAAAAAAGGAAAAAAAATCTATTATCTTAGGAAAGATTATTTGCATTCTTAGTTGGAGATCTTGAAAAGCTAAGCAGGATCAGACCCCCCTGTTTAGAAGTGAGACCACTGGAAAAATACCAGGTCTGTAAGCTAAATCTGGAGTAGGGGAGAAAATCCTAAAAAGAAAGAAAACCACTATAATACGTTTGCCAAGATCACTCAATGGACAACTTCATAGAGTTACCAGTTTGACTCAGAAGAGACTTGGCCTTTATTTGCATTTCTATCACACAGATTTGCAAACAATAAGACAGGTTTGGGTATCCGAATACATGCAAATTATGGACAAAACCCTTAATTAAATTCCGAGTTGATAGATTCATCAAATCTGATGAGTCAACCTCGCCTGCAAAAATGGGGAAAAGCAACATTAACAGCTTCCTAATGACACCACCTAGGATCTCATTAACACTGAGTGAAAAATCTAAAAAAGGTATTTTTAGATATTCCTCCCCCCCCCCCCCCCCGCTAGGCAGAAGTTGTGGCTGTGATCTAAAAGCTTCACAGGGTAGCTTTAGCTGCAAGCATGGAAAGGAAGATGAGTAGAGAGATTGCATTTCAGTGAAGACAATGTGGGCTTTCCTGTATGGATGACTTGGACTGTTGCTATCTTGGACAATGCAAACAAGATATGGCTCTTCTTTTATGGCAATTTTCAAAATTATTATTGCGAAACTTGCAGTATGGCGCTACAATCTTCTTCGGTGGGTTCTCATTTTAGCTGCTCTTCTTGATCTTCTTTCCTAGCCCTGATTCCAAACACAGAGCAGAAACTCAGTGTTAAGGAGAAAGGTCTTTCTTCTCTGCCTTTTTGCTTCTTCCTTTCTTTCTGTTCCTATCTTCTGAACCTTTGGAGACCTCGCCAGGGTCTCCTTGCCCTGAATCTCTTCCTGCACTCTCCAAGTCACTGCCAGGAAATCTTTCAGAAAGACAGGCTGGTCTGTTTCACACTGTCT